GTACATGAATCAGGAGTAGACAATAAAAGAAATATGTATTGTCAATTAACATACAAAATTGCTCAATTGAAGAAATTAAATAATACCATTTCTTTCCTCTCAGATTGACAAATAAATAAAACACTGATAAAACTCAAGAACTACATGGGTGGGAGGAAAAGGGTCTCTTCTCCAGCCACCGAAGATGCTGGAAGGGAAGAAGACCAAAGGGAAGGAGGTGGCTGGGGCCCCCGCCACCACACAGCCACAGGAGGCCAAGAAGGGTTAAGCAACGTCTGAAGAAAGGCCTAGGAATTTCTGCACTGGATAGGAAGTCCAGCCCTTACAGGGACCTCACCCACTATGTCAAAGCCCTGCTGTACCAGGTTCAGCAGCAAAGGGCCCTCCTCCATGAGTGGCTGAAAGCGTCTCCTGTAACTGACCGGTTCACCCAGGCCTCAGGCCACCAGGCAGCCACCCAACACTATACGCTTGCCCACGGTACCAACCAGAGACAAGCAATAGAAGAAGCAGACCGTTGGCCTGGGCTGAAAGACAGCACTGGCACAGGGGATGTCCCCACTAAGAGACGGAACATGTGTCCTTCCAGCAGAGGCTGATGCTGTCATGACCTTGGTGGAGAACAAGAAGGCTGGGCCGGTGGTGATCACACATAATGGGAACCCCACTGAGCTGGCTGTCTTCCTGCCTGCCCTGTGTCTTGAGACGGGGGTTCCCTACCGCACTGTCGAGGGGAAAGCCTGACTAGGGCATCAATCCCACAGGACCAACAAGTCTGCACCACTGTCGCCTTGTCACCTTCACGCAGGTTAACTCGGAAGACAAAGGAGCTCTAAGCTGTCAGAAGCTATCAGGACCCACGACAAATGCTACAACAAGATTCACCATCACTGGGTATTCCAGTACACCCATAAGGTATTTCTCCATTCTCCCATTCATGGTCTTATTCTGAGTAAGAAACAGTTTAGAAGGAGCTCACTCCTGTAAGTCCTCCCTTCTGTGGACAGTGGTCCTCAGGTGCTGTGGTCTAAGGACTCCTGGGAGTGCATAAAAATTACTGAGGACCTCAGGGCACATTTATCTTTGTGGGTTTCAAAGATTTGTGGGGTTTCTCATACCAGAATTAAACTGAGGAATTTAAAAATATGTATTCATTCATTTCAAAACTACACCAATCCTTTACATATCATAAATAACATATTTTCATTTTTAACATTTCCAAAATCCATTATATGGAAATTTTAAGAATTTGGGTGCTGTTACTCAACCAAATATTTTAATCAATTAACACAACTTTGAATCAGTTTGCAAAGACATCGAATTAAACACACTTGCCTTAAATGAAACACAAGGCAATGATTTTTGATGACAGCAGCATTTCGAGAGCCTGAGTTCTCTTTGCATCAACCCCTTTTGTTAGTCACAGACCTGAATGTTTATCAGCTTGTGCTGTTACAGACATTCAGCCAAGACAAAGAGCAAACTACACGAAGGGAATGCCATCCACTGACACGCATCATTTCATCCACTTCAAGAATCTCAGACCCTCGGCAAGTCTACAAATACTCAGCTCCCATTCCTTGCTCCTCCCCAGAGGAGGGAGAAGTTGACAAGGGCAAGTCGACTCCAGATCATTACCTGTGTCGGAGTGCAGGAAGTTAAAGCTTTTCATCTCACCAGGAAGAGGTCAAAATGCTAAGCAACAGGGGGTCTGGCTCATTCATTCTCCCAGCTCCCCAGGAGCAAGTGGCCACTGGGGGCAGAAACCTGGGCTGAGCTTGCGGACAGTGGGATTGGGATCAAGGCGGCAATGACAAAAGCATTGGGAAAGGACAGCAATGGAGAATCTAGGGGCAGTTTGGACACAGAACTATTGGCCTTAGAGACCAACTTGTGACTAGATGCAGTACTGTATTTCTTCTAATAGTCAGCTTTCTTTTTTGCATACAGATTAAGAAAGGCTGGTGCCAGTAATTTAAAAGGGAACCAGTAATAACTGTGTAGAGAGAACACTGAAGATTCTTCTAGGCTAAGAGCGAGTGCCTAAGCCAAGGACACCGTGAGCAGGCTCCCTCCCCAGGCCTGGGCCTCAGAGCATGCTGCACATACACACCTGAAGCCCACTGGAGAGAGGAGCTGACGGGGCTGTCCAAGCCAGAGCTGCTCCACAGCCGCAGGAAACCCCGCCCTGGGGTGCAGGCAAGCCAAGGTGGGCTCAAAAGGAGAAGCTGGGGGGGGAAATGCCTTTGGGGGATGTTGAAGAAGGGAGCCTACAGATGCTGTGTAGCCAAACGGGCACTGTGCCAGGCACCAAGGCATTTCCTCTCAGCGCCAAAACCACCCTGCTATGCCCACCTTCTGATCCTGGCACTGGGCCCTGAAGACCACATGGCTCTCTTGCCCAGGGACTCGGTGTTCAGCGCTGGGCACGGGCACAGCTTCCCAGGTGGTGTGGGGTGGACTGGTGTGCGAGGGTCCCACATCATTTTCCTGGGGACTGGGGACAGCCACCACGGGTCAGCCACCAATCCTCACCCAGGAGTTGTTTCACTCTAACAGCTGCGATGGACTCACGGTCCTGTGAGATAAGGCCCCTGCTCTGAGCATCTAAGTCTCTCCCACGTCCGCTTTTCCAGAGTCAGCCCCTTATGCATTGATGACTTTGGCCTTGTCTTTTCTGTCTTGGAGCAGCTAGCCATCTTTTCCTTTGTTAACAATTCTGTACACTGAATTTTTCATGTTCAAATTACTGCTGTCTTTCCTGTCTTCTGGCCAGATCCTGACTGATTCCGCCTGAGTTTGTGCAAAGTAAAGCCCTGAAGTCCCCATCACACTAAGAATTCAGAGTCACGTGAAGCTCGCTGCCTGGCACGGCTACACCCTCCGGGGCCTCCTCTGCTCTTCCCCTCCCTGTGCCAACTCTGCTTCTTCTTCTAACTTCCAGGCACTTCCTGCATCCCTGCTGGCCCCTCCTTCCAGCAGAGGTGGGACCCTGCTCACTGTGGATGGTCACAGCCACCTTCAAAGCCCTGCAGACCTACCAGGAGGGATGTGGCCACCTCGTGACCCCTGGAAGCTTCTGCTGCTCTAATGGAGGAGGCCATGGGATCAGACTGACCTAACTACGCAGGGAGGCCCACTTGGCAAAGTAAACAGCAACAGATAAACTTCAAGAGATTGCAGGCAGAAACCCATAAACACAACACGTCACTACCTATTTATTTTTAGACGAACAGTGTGTCATGTCACATGATGAAAGCCACTCCAAGTCACATACAGGAGCATCTCTGTGGGAAGCGACACGGAGTGCCAGGGCTATCTCAAGTGCCCTGTGACTGTGGGCAAGTCACCTGAGAGCCTAACCTCAATCTCCTGGCCTGATGGCCTCAGGGCTCCTATCAAGGTAAGGATGCATTCTGCAAAGCAGTGACCTGTACCGTTATTTCAACCCTGATGACATGCTGGCTCCCTTATGCTCTGCTCCAGCGTAGGTGGGAACAGCCAGGACCCTCCTCTTCACTGCAAAGAAGCCCAAGGCTGGCATCATGACCCCACCTATCCCACCCCCGTCACCTGCCCCAAGGAGCAGTCCATTCACTGGTGGGATGGTGACGACAGCATTATCTGTCTCTCAGGTCCCCTGAGGACCATAAGCACCACTGTCAATCATCTAAAGCAGCATCATGCTCCCCACTGTCCAGGTCACTTTGAACTTCAAGGAGAAAGCAGGTGAGGGTGCTCTGTAATCCACAAAGAACCAGGTAAACACCAGTGAGCCTTCACTACAACACAGCAGCGGAGAAAACATAGTTTTAAATATGTATTCAAAGAGATGAAGAATCTCCTGGTTCCAAAGAACATTTTCACCACTTTCCAGGGCCCTTCACGTCCCCATCCCTGCCCAATACAAACAGCCCACACTGAGGCCAGCTCCCTGGCAGTGGTCCTGCCCCAACACTGACGGGTTCCATGCGGAAGTGAGGCGAGTTCCAGGGCGGGCAGGAGGGCACCTCCCTGAGAATCCAGCCCACGGGTCAGATTAAGAGACAGGGAAAGACAGGGCAGCAGCACACACAGCTGCAGAACGACTCCTCTAAGAAGGAGGCTGAAGCTGGGCACGGTGGCTCACGCCTGTAATCCCAGCACTCTGGGAGGCTGAGGCAAGAGGATCACTTGAGCACAGGAGTTCAAGACCAGCCTGGGAAACATGGCAAAATCTCATCTCTACAAAAGGTGCAGAGGGTTCCCTGCACCCAACCACACAGGCGCAGCCCCACACAGCCCTGCACGGCAGCACCGCCTCCTGCTGGACAAAGTCCTTCCAGAGGGTTCCCTGTTTTGCCCATTTTCTCTCTTTCCTGCTAGAAACTTAGCTCTCAAAGGAAGGCAAGGGCCCCAAAGGGATATTGATGGGTCCAGGTCTTTGGGGCAGCACTACACACCACTAGGTACCCCTCGGTGAGCAGGAGGCATGCGGCATCTCAGGCCCACTGCCAAGTCCAGCTGGCGTTTTCCACATCAAGATATCCCCTACGGAGGAAGCAGCATGAGGAACCAGCTCTCAGTGCTTCAAGAATATTCTCGCCTCAAAAGGGATTTGGGACACAGGGATGAAGATTCTGGGGTCAGACCTAAAATGGGCTTCAAGGGGCTTCAGGGACAGAGCAAGGGAGGAGCAGGAAGGGGAGGAAGGGCCTTAATCTGAACTCTAAGACAACAATTTCCCTCTCGCCACCACCTACCCTGCCCAGATGTCCCACCCAGAACCATCCATCAGAACCAGAACCAGCACCAGAGACTCAAACAGGGCTGGGGGCCAGGGGTCCTAGCAAGACACAGTCCACAGCCCAGAGGCAATGCAGACACCCTGTGATGGCCACAGAGGCCACAGGGCCAGCCAGAAGGAGCCAGGACCTGCACCTGGTGACTGGGAGTCCCCTCCCTGTGGCTGCTAAGTTAGAGGCCAGGGCTCCGTGCTAAGTGGCTCCTGGCAGGCTTACCTTTTTATCTTCCTTAGTCTTTCGAACATTTCGATGGGGACCAAAAATGTTTTGCATTCCAAAGGCCTTCCTGGACCACTCCCTCTTCGGGGCACTGCCCTCTACCCTGTAGCGGTCCGCGGGGATCTTGCTCATGGGAGGGGGCAGTGTGCCACAGTTGACGCTGGACCAGCCGTCAGTGGAATCCGTGTAAGACTCCTGGTCACTGGTGTGTCCGCACTGCCACTCCCGGAGGACATGGACCGGGAGCCAGCGCTGGTTGAAAGCAGAGCTGGCACCCACAGTGCCCCTTTTGGAAGGGGGGACCGAGCTCCTCGAAGAAGTTGGGGGTAACTCCACAGGAGAGGCCGGCCCCAGGTGCTTGCTCAGGTCCCGGAACCTATCAGTCTGATGAGCAGCCTCAAATGGGGGGCTCCCCTCGGGGTCCGGACAGAAGGGCGCAGTCCAGGGAATACCCCAGGGCTGGGCACCTCTCCCGCCCACACCGTCCCATGCGCTGCCTCCAGGGCCGTGCCTGCTCGAGCTCCCACCCAGGTCCACCACAAGGACCCGGTTGCTCTTCTCCTCCTGGTTGAAGTTCCCAATGCCGCTGTCACTGTTGCTGCTGGTGCTGTTGTTCTGCTGGGCGTCGGCGTCCCCGTCCAGAAAGGCGCGGGCCCGCATGCCCTCAATCAGCTCGCCCATGTCTCGGTACAGGACAGAGATGAACTGCAGGACGGGGAGGGAGGACGCCGGGAACTCCAGACAGCCATTGGTGTCGGGGTCAGCCGTGCACTCAAACCCAAAGCGCCGAGCAATGCCTTGGTGGATCTTGTGATGAAACAAGTCTGGGTCCACCATGAACACATGGCAGGAAGTCCGCAGGGCACCCTCTTCCTCCTGGGCCAGGCTCCCGTCATCATTTGTCTGCATGGTCACCAACCCAAAAAACCGCCTGTCGTCCGGGCACACGGCACTGAAGGCCAGCTTCTCGGCCGGGTACTCGGCCACCACCCCGGCCTTGTCAGTGCCCAGCTGCACACAGTCATGCATGATCTTCATGGTCACCAGCGAGTGGATCTTCTGCTCTGCCCGCAGGCGCCGCATGCAGCCGCGGATGGCCTGCAGGCTGTCGGACTCCAGGTTGGAGCTCGTGGAGGGAAGCTCAATGGAACCTAAGTAGCCCACGATCATGGCCACGTTTAAAATACTTGCATCCAATGCAAAGTCGTCATGACCTTCGAGTCCAATACTGAAAACTGAATCATCATGAATAACTTTGGATATTTCCTCCTTAGAAAGCATGCTGGGGTTTGGGTTATTTACACTTTCATGTCCAACATCAAATCGTGCTGCGGCTGACTCCGAAAGGGATCTTTGTTTCAACCTCAAGGGCTCTGAGCTGCTCGCAGAGAGGCTCGGGTTTTCGAAAATCATATTGAAAATCCCCCCAGACTGCAGTTCCTCCACGACTCGCTCTGCTCTGTTTATACCCAGTGCCTTTGAATCCAGCTTGGGCTTCAGCCAGCCTTTTCCTTCATACAGTCCCCCTTCTTCATCACTGGAACAGGACTCGAAGTGGCCGATGCCTTCAGCAATCACCATGTGCAGGACGCCAGAGCACTTCCCAATCAGTTTCACTACATCTTCATGAGACGCTTTTTTCACGTTGATTTCATTGACTGCAAATATCTGGTCTCCAGCGCGGAGGCCCACAAAATCCGCAGGGCTCCCTCTCATGACGCAGCTGAGCACACAGGGTGCCTGTCCCGAAAGTGTGAATCCGTAGCCGGCCCTCCCCCGGGCGACCTCCACGCTCCGCACCCTCAGGGGCGTCGGCCCAGGCAATGGGCGCTTGGCCGCCTCCCCTGCTCTATACATTCTAATGAGCTTCCAAGACCAGGAACACGTCTCATTGTTCCCGCAGAGCCATATTTCAGGGAATGCTTGATGCTACCATGTCTTCTTCTTGGAACAGTACCCTAAGAAAGAAAAACGAAGAGCTCATTATTAAAGATTCCATATTTCTCCACTGCTCACTGGTATTACCTAAACACGAAAAGATAATTCATAATAAAATCACCACAGAAAGAGCCTCTAAGTGTCTATATGCAATAAATCTTAAAGGCAGGCTAAGAAACTTCCTTTCGGAGTAGACAATGTCTCCCTTAATTGCCACCTTGTTACTACACCAGTCCCTGCCAGGGCAACCCACCATGGGCTTGAGGGTGCGGGGCTGCTTCTCGGTGCTGCTTCAATACCCTGCTTTGATAGAAGAGCCCATTGCTACTCAAAGTGTGGTCCATGGACTGGCAGCCTGTCTGAAAGCAGACTTTCAGACTCCATGCAAAACAAGCACACTCAAACCCACGTTTCACAGGATGGCAGAGTCCCAGTGTGAGAAGCAAGGCCTGCAGGTTCAAAGGCACCTGCAGAACACCGAGTCTAACCCCTCAGTTATCAGAAATCTCCTCATATAAAGTTTTCCCTCAGGAGAGGGGGCACCTAATATTCCCTGACCCTCCCACATTAATTTATTTAGAATATAGTGTGTAGGAGAAAACACATTAGTCTGAAACAACCTCAGTCAATACTGCAGAGGCCACCCAACAGGCTAGATAAAAAACACCATGTTGGAAATAGATGCTCGGTGCCGCAAAGAAAAATTTGCACTGAGACAAAGGATCTTTCATCAATGCAATTTTTAATTCTTAGACTGCAGGAAGGGTACTCCCAGTAGCCATCGTGCCACGAGAATACAAAGAACAAAGGGAATACACACAAATGTATTCTTTACGAATCTGGGGTTGTCCTTACTGCTGTGTCTGATCTCCACTGGCTGGAGCCAGACCTCACAATCTAAACTAAAACCCAATTGGCTAATAACTTAAAACTTTTCTAAACAGGTAAAAGCAATGGAGAGCTGGGACATGCCTGTGAGCACGTCCAGCACAGATATCTTGGTTAAAGTACAAGGACATAGAGTATACTATGTGCCTGTAAGCATGACATGTTTAACAGCTACATAGGAAACTTTAAAAAGGAACTTTTCTACTTCTCACACACTACCAAAAACAAAGAAATGTTATACTAACTCAATTCTTCCAGGGAGTATGACTTTAAAAGTATTGATTGTCAGCCAGGTGCAGTGGCTCATGCCTGTAAGCCCAGCACTTTGGGAGGCCGAGGCGAGTGGATCACCTGAGGCCAAGAGTTCATGACCAGCCTGGGCAACATGGTAAAACCCCCATCTCTACTAAAAAAAAAAAAAAAAAAAAAAAGTACAAAAATCAGCTGGGTGCAGTGTTGCATGCCTGTAATCCCAGCTACTCAGGAGGCTGAGGCAAACAGAATCACTTGAATCTAGGAGGCAGGGGTTGCAGTGAGCCGAGATTGCACCACTGTACTCCAGCCTAGGCGACAGAGCAAGACTTCACCTCAAAAAATTTTTAAAAACTAAAAATAAATGTTGTGTTTGTCACTGAGGACAAACTTGTCAGGGGTCCCCAGGACCACCCCAGGCCAGTGATTCCCTAGGATTCCCAGGACTTAGGACAGAGGTACAATCACAGCTGAGATTCATTACAGCAAAGGATTCAATGCAAAATCAGCAAGGGCAGAGGCCCATGGGGCCATGTCCCAAGGAAACCAGGCTTGAGCCAGAATCTTCTCCCAGTGGGGTTGCGCAGGATGCACTTAACTCGCCCCGCAGTGAGCTGTGACAGTGTGTATGCAGTGTCATCACCAGGGAAGCCCACTGGAGACTCGGTGCCAGGGTTTTTACTGGGGGCTGGGCACATGGACACCCTCTGCTGCCCAGGCTCTGGACTCATAGAGGGAAGGGAAGGCAGGTTCTCAGCATAAACCCTGTTGCCCACACAAGCAGCTGAGCACAGGGAGCCCCTCCTCAGTGAGGGTGGTGGGAACTGTCCCGACATCAGCCAGGGGCCAGCCTTGCACAGAGCCTCCCTCAGGATATAGTCTCGGGCCTGCTGTGTGGATCTTGTCTGCAAGACTCTTTAAAGATCATTTTAAAAAGCAATACAGTAAGTGATTATGTTGTGAAGATGTAAAATAGAATAAAAGGTATATTTTTTAAAGAAATAATTGTTTTAAAGTTATTAGAAGAGATTTTTGTGTGTTGGGATAAAGCTTCCGGCAATAGCATCATAAACAGATTCAAAGTAATATATACACACAAAAGCTACAGAACTAGATGAAGTGGAAAGGCCATCACTAGGAGACTCCAAAAGTGGCTTCAGTGACAAAACGCAGATATACAACATGCGTACTTCATAAAATTATGTTTTGATACAGAAGAGTAAAAAATGAATATAAATTACATTACTCAATAAGTAGTACTGTATTAGTAACTTAAATATTAGGACTGGGCATTTAACTATTTAATGTTCATCACTAAAAAATAAATAAATAAAAATAAAAGTTGGCCAAGAAACATGTTTGGGGACCTTCTTGTTGGATCTTCTTAACGGGTGTTGACAGGCTAGCTGATGGCCCCTGATACACCCATGTCCTAATTCCCAGGCCTTTGGATGGCTCCTTGCATGGCCAAAGGGACTGCAGAGGTGATCGCGTTAAGGCTCGTAAGATGGGGAGAGTATCGGGTGCACTCATGCGAGGCTGTGGTCAGAGCCAGAGGGGACGGCCATGTGAGGAAGGGTGCAGAGACAGAAGGGATTCAAGGACAGGGCTTGAGGCCAGGCAGGCAGGCAGGCGGCTGCCTCCAGAAGCTGCAAAGACCAAGGAAACAGACACAAAGCCACCAGAGGAACCAGCTCTGCCACATCTGCCATCAGCCCGGTCACACTGACTATGGACCACAAGGCCTCTGAAAACGCAGGAGGATGAATGCATGTTCTCTTAAACCCCCAGTTTGTGGTAATTTCTTTCAGCAACCCCAGGAGACAAATACAAGGGGGAATCCCTTTATCGCGGGCGAGTGGAGAGGGGAGCAGAACGTGTGTGAAATGGTCTCGCTAAAGCACGCTCAGAAAAGCGTCTGGCTTGCGGTAGATGTCACACAACAAAGCTGCTGCTGTTACTGGTTACGGCAACTGCCAGCTCTCACTGTGAATGACCCTAGGACAGCAGGTCATGACAGAATGGCTACCTCTCGGAACAGGACACCTCTTGGTTCTCTTCCAAACAAGAACAGATGCTGCCTCAATGAAAGACGTGCCCTCCCAGTTTATCCGCGCCATCCGCCTCACGCTGTCTGACATAATGGTGGATAACAGTCTTCTATGCAGTCCCTCAATTTTTCTACTAGACTCTTATCATCATGTGCCTCTGCTTATTAAAAAGAAATGGTTTGTAATTCATGTAACATCTTATGATCTATAATCACATTCATTTCATCATTTTTATTTTTTAGAGACAGGGTCTCACTCTACTGCCCAGGCTGGAGTGCAGTGGTGCAGTCATTGCTTGCTGCAGCCTCAAACTCCTGGGCTTAAGCCATGCCAAGCACACCCCCATACTCAGCTAATTTTTTTTTTTTTTTTGGAGAAAACTGTAAAACCGTATTGAGATATTTTAAGTCATGTATCTAATATGAAACCAATTTGAGCTGTTTTAGCTTGTCTTTGTTGAAACCTGTGGCTGCCCTTCACCTCCTTCTGGCAATTTAAATTGCTCTGATTTTGGCAGAATCTTCCCCGGACATCAGGACCTCCTTCGCATTCATGCCAGTCTTTGAGGCGGCTCCCAGAGATACGCTTCCCAGTCAAGCGTGAGAATCTCAGCAGCACCGGGTCTTTCTCTCTCTCCCGGCCAGGTACGGGGCCCTGTCTTTCAGGCAGCGGTTCCTCTTGCTGAGGCTGTTCATCACTAGCTCAAGCACAGGCCCAGTCAGCTCAGGAGGCTGCAGAGACCGACCTGGTCTAGGCCTATATGCTGATCTTCCTCGCCAACTCCTACTTCACACAGCTGCTTCTCAGTAGTGGGGAAAGAGCCCAGAACACAGGAACGCAACCCTCACACCCTCACAGGTCCACAATGTTCACCACGTGAGCGAAGAGGGTGAGGGGAAGACACCCAGTGAACCTCGGCTAATTTTTTAATTTTTAGGTAGATGTGGACTCACTATGCTGCCCAGACCAGTCTCAAACTTCTGGCCTCAAGCAATCCTCCTGCCTTGGCCTCCCAAAATAATCACATAAGTTCAGCTTACAGTTTAAGTTTTCCTTAAACTGTATCAATTAATAATAAAGCTAGCAGAACAGACAGTGAAATTTAGGAGACCACAGGGCACTGGATTCCAAGTGAACTTGTACTACAGCATCTGGGCTACTAGTGAGAATGCCAGTTTCCAGGTTGGCTGCGCCTCCCAGAGACTCTGACTTAGTAAGTCTGGGGCAAGGCCAGGAAGTTCCACCTACCCCTCGCACACCCTGACTGGAGACCATCTTACCCAGCCTTTTTGTTGGAAAAGGGAACACGGTCTGGCCAGAAGTGGTTGATCCCAGCCCTGAGGCACAGATGGGCTGTGACGCAAAGGCCCCACTTGCCCCCCAGCAGTGCTCAGGGACACTTAGCCTGTGTGGTATGGTGACTGATCCCCCATCAGGTGTCACCCACCACACCACACAGGCTAAGAGTCCCTGAGAAGATATTTCTGGGACCAGAAGTACTGTGGATTTTTCTGATTTTGGAACATCTGTATGTACTTAATAAGATATGCTGGGATGAGACATCCAGGTCTGAACATGAAATTCATTCATGTTTCATATACACATTATACACACAGTTTGAGGGTAATTTTGTGCAGTAGTTTTGATAATTTTGTACATGAAACAAGGTTTGTGTACACTGACCCATTAGAAAGCAAAGGTGTCAGCTGGGTGTGGTGGCTCATGCCTGTAATCCCAGCACTTTGGGAGGCCAAGGTGGGTTGATCACGAGGTCAAGAGATCAAGACCAACCTGGTCAACAGGGTGAAACCCCATCTCTACTAAAAATA